CGCGAGGGGGTCAGTGCCACCTCAAATGCCACTGGAAGAGCAGCTAACCTATAACAAGCTCTTTGCTGCCAAAGCCACAGGGCTTCCCAGGACCTGGGCTAGCTCGGTCACTACTTGCCTGCACGGATCTCCTGTTCAATAGTTAAACACAGCGGCACTGCCTGACGTTAGGCATTACTGTTAGTTTGTGACATGGTGTGTTTTACCAGCGCTAGGCTGATCTTCAAGGTGTGCTGTGGCCTCCTGTGCTAATACGGACTCATTCCACAGCTGCGACTCCTAAAAACTACCGGAGCTTTGCTAACAGTTGCTAAACCGCCTACATCCCTCTGATGATAATAGTGCGTACAAGCAACGCGTCCTAGGTCTCTTTCGCACCAGCCCCTACTACTATCCGGTCCTGAGAAGCTAGGTGAGAAAGTAACCACAACACTCAGAAAGGAAATAAGAAAAAAAAAGGGAGGGTCACTAGTCCTGTAAATAGAGGAGCAAAGAAGGATAAAGAACAAAATACAAAGGCAGAGCAGCTCAACCTCTTAGTTCTTATGCCTTGGGAAAAAGTTCGTCCTTCTGTGTTTTCGGGGTGGGGATCAGAATTCAGGAGAAAGTGAATCACTGGAGCTACCGTCGCGTTGCTTGTATTGGTTTTACAACATAGCGATGCAACTTTCTGTCAGGTTGTGGGTGGGCACTGAAAATTTATATATAGACGTGTCTATTCATGGAAAGAGGTTGGGGTTTAGTTTTTTTCTTTGGTAGTGGTGGGGTTTTTGTGGTTGGGTTAGGCTTTTTTTTTTTTTTTGCATCCTCATATCTCACTGCAACATGTTTCAGAATATGACTGACATGGGTGTTGTGAGGCCGAAAAAGAACAAGAATAAATGAAACAACGAATAAATTTTGAGGCCTGTGTAAATAGTCTTACAGCATATCCTAGAAGAACTGCCACACGTAGTTTTGTATTTGTGCCAGTTTGCCCCGTGGTAAAACAAACAATTTTAAGAGGTGTCTTTTAAAAGAGCTTTGCCTGGCACGCTCCTGTAGTTTGGTGGTTACAGGTTACTAGTAATTTCTGTGTTACAGGTGTACGTACCTTCTTATAAAACTTATTCAGAAGCTAGTTCCAAACGGGTAAGAAATCTCCATCAAAATGCCTCCCTGCGTTTCTCTGTCCCTTTTAAAATGCACTGAAAAATGAGCAGGCTGCAAGGGCCTGAAATTCAAGATTTTTCAGGCAGTAAGATCAGTAATGCTTTTTCTCACTATTGTCTGGAATCATTTTTCTAGCAGTATTACTCCAGTGACGGAGCTGGTAGTCCAGAAGGAAAATCATGAAAAGTTGAATGATATTGCTGTGCATTTATGCAATGCTGAAATTGAGGATGGGTGGAAAAGACTTGCTGTCAAAGTCTACAGTACCGATCATGTGTCCTGAATCTTGAAATGTAATTTAACATTGCCTTAGATGGAAGAACCTTCGCATTTCTCTTTTTCCTGTTGATAGCTCAGCTAAGGCCTGACAGTCTTCCAGTTCATTTGCACTCTGCAGTCTAGAGTTTGGGGCCTGTCTCCATCACTTCTCTATTTAACAATGAAATTGTTAAGGTTCCAGCCTTACAGATGATCTGAGATGATCTGTGAGAACAACAGATTTGTTGTTCCAGCAAGGTCAGATTTTCCAGTGTCCAGTGATTCTGTACACCTCCTTGCAACTGGCATTGCAAGGAGCTTGCAATTGCATCAGCTGATTGCATCAGCTTGCAACTGAGATGACTTCAAAGCTTCCTGGGAATTCATGTTGCCTCCTGATGTGAGCCCAAATGTCCTAATTTGAGCTCCACAAACTAGAGACCCCCTTTAAAAACTTGAACCACTGTGATATGCTTTGACTTGATATCTCACTGTGGGCTACTTGCCCTTGGATGTTTGCACAGCTTTTATTGATAAAACCAAAGGGATATGTGCTGTGCTTCATGCAAAGAAGAGACCCCTATACTGAAAAAGTTTGTGACTTTCAGACTGTAAGCTTAAAATTTAACTTTTGTTCACTGTGGGCACCCCTGAATATACTCACCTGACACTACCAAATGAAATGTTGGTCAGTTGAGTTTTGACCACATTCTTGCGGAATACCTTTGCTGCTGAATGGACTCCTCTGTTGCTTACACTGACCTGGCTGTTCTCTCACTTTATTTGTTTTGCAGTAGAAACAGATCTAGTTTGTCCAGGAAAAGAGATGAGAGAAGAGCTGAAATGTTTTCTCCTCCTAATACTTGCTGCAGTCATATTTGATTGTTGCTGAAGTGTTGCTGATGGGAAGAGCACCTCCTCACTCTGTAAACTGAGGCTGTAGTGTACAGTTACCATTTGCAGAAATTCTCACTGATGCATAGAGGCCAAATTTTGTCTTAGCAAAAGTCAGCATATTTACTCTAAAACAACTGAGACTTAAAATTAGACGTGTGTAGTTTTATACATTGACTAACTGAAAAGTTTGGCCCTACGATGTGTTCAGTTTGCTATTTCCACAAGAAAGAATTAACTGGGAAAATGTTGACAGCTAGATGTCTTTTAAAACTATACTGTGAAGCAATTTTTCTCTTATTTGTAGTGGTGTAACTAGGAAGGATGGCCTTGTTGTCTAAGGCAGGGGCTCAGTTCCTCTGTGTTCAGACTTCCTGGTTCTGCCACTAGTTTCCTGTGCGAGCTTGGATAAGGCTCTTAATATTTCAGTTGCCTGTTCGCAAAAGGGGGAGAGTGCTCCTCCCTTCGCCTGCCTGTCCTCTTCAGATCTTAAGAAGAGGGACTGTCTTTCAGTGTGTTTTGTTTAGTGCTCAATAAAAAGGTCTCAAATTGTAAGCCAAATCTAGAAGTGTTGCTGATTAACAATAGGAAAAGTTATCTTTCTCTCTTTTTCATTTTAATCACAATTGCAACAATATATGAAGCCCAAACCCACCCCAGGCTGCACTCTGTGATGAGACTCCTGAAGACCTGACTTAAACATCAGTGGTTCAGAGCATTTGCCGCTGTCCAATTAGAAAGTGGGCTACCATGTCTAAGGCAAGAAGATTGTTTTAATCAAACTGTGGCGTAAGGTAAAAGGGACTGTTGTTGTCCATCTCGGACAGCTGCTGATGGACAAATCCATGTATCATAAAAAGGCCATTGTTCACGGTCATTCTTACGAAGAAATGTATGCTACTAACAACAAGCCACTTTCATCAGCTGAGCAGACAAATTGATTTTCTTCTGCTGTTAATTCAAGCCAGCTGTTGCTTTACAGCAAATGCTCTGGACACAAATATGAGGCATCATGTTTCCTGTTTGGGCGCTATCTCTTTGGACATTGCTTGCTCCTTCTGATAACAAATTAATGCTAGAACACATCCAGTGGGAAGCAGTCAGTTTCATTTTAAAGCTGAAGGCAAATATGATGTTGTTGTACTGAAAAACACTATGTCCACAGTTCTTTCTACCCTTTGTACAAACGCCTCAGATGAGTAAGGTTGCCTTCTGCTACTACTTTTCCTTCTTTTAACTGTCGTCTTGTAGTGATTAAGCAAATACCAAGATCCTAAATATGCTAAAAAATGGAAAACGGTTATCCACACACTTGTAATTGCCATAAATTTATAGGCTTCAGGTGAGGCAGGTAGGGCTGCTCTGTGGTCGAAGTTGCTCATTAGATCCTTGGGAAATACGAATATTTGTTATCTCACAGATTTTCTGCAACTTTAGGAAAGTCACTTACTCTCTTCTTCCTTGGTTTTCTGTCTAAAAAATGACAATAACAGCACTGCATGAGGATGCTGAATGATATATTAAAGATCAACATATTCGGATATCGGTGGTATCTGTATTGTGGAGAGAAACACAGACACTGCTTCAGGTGTGTTTGCTTGAAGATAAGCCAGTGAGTGCACTGCCATGCCAGGCAGCTGCTAGCCGAGCTAATTGGTTTGGCATCACAATGCACAAATATATTTAGATTTGTCCCTGAGCTGATGTGTCACATAAGTGATTAGTGTGGGATTCTCTGTAGTAGGTAGTATCTATCCAGCTGTCCTGTTCGGGGCTGCGTGGGCACAGCTAGCTGAAGTCTGTGTCTTCACAAGTCCTGTGGCAACTCGAAGATGCCTTGCGTGGACACCATCGATCACGGGCACTTTGCCTGTGTCATTTGCAGAATGTGACACTACAGCAAAGATGTTAAGGAAGTAAATATCACTTTGTTGTGTGAGCTCTGTTAGTCTCCCAGTGCTGGGAATCATGGAAATGTTTCTGTAGGTAATTCAAAACATATTCTCCTTATAATGGCTTCTAGGGTTAGGAGCCATGATAAAGGGTTAGAAGATGCAGCATTCAAAACACCAAATACTGCTCTTTTCTAGTATTTCTGCCACTGGAGTTACCACTGGACACTTATTAAATTCTTTAGGGTTGACATTACTGAGAGGTCTGTCTTCACAAGGTTTTGAGAAAAGAAAGAATGTTAAGGGAAAGTAAGCAATGTTTTTTTCAAATAAGAAACAATTAGCCTTGTTTATGTGCAGCTGAAGCCCTCAGATAAATTAGTTAGCAGTCAGAGAGGTGTGAGGTTTTTTTTGGCTTGGTGATACATTTCCTGTGTGAGCTCTGACAAATAATTTTTAGAATACCATTGGAAAAAAAGTACCTATTTTTCATATAGGGATGTTAATAAGGTCAAAGTAATGAATGTTAGCAGTGCTCTTCAAGAATCTCGGGGGAAAGAGGATGAGGAAATATATAACAGTATTATATGATTTATTTCTGTACTGCACTGAACATGGCAGATGCATACTGAAAATGCTTAACACTATGAAACCAACACTTTGAGAGATGTTCTTTAGTATAAAAACTGGTGAGTCTGAATTACATTGAAATTAAGGTGGAGATAAATGCTAAACTGGCAACTAGTGTAGCATTTCTATTGCTATGAACAATGCAATGCCCACATTTTGATTTTTTCTCTCCAGAACACTCTGGCGAAAGCACTATATGACAACAAAGCGGAGTGTTCAGATGAGCTGGCCTTCCGCAAAGGAGACATCCTGACGGTTCTTGACCAAAATGTCATTGGCAGTGAGGGTTGGTGGAAATGTTCCCTTCACGGCAGGCAGGGCCTGGCTCCTGCTAATCGCCTCCAGCTCCTTGATGGCTCTCAGGCAGACCCGCCACCTTCTTCCACGCAGAGCGACGCCGCCACCGAACTGCCAGCTGGCCAACAAAACATTTACCAAGTTCCTTCCATTCCCAAGTCTGCCACATTGTCGTCTACATATGAAAAGATGGACGGGTGGGTTAAATCACCAGGTAGGACCTCTACTCTACCTGCCCACGGAATGTATCAGGTACCAGCCTTGGCTGCACAGCTGCTCAGTGAAAGGACCCAGAGCTCAACCAATCAGGTAAGAATATGCACGGATAACAAAGTAACAAGTGCTATAAATAAAACAATTATTGGGAGATGGAAAATAATAAAGGCTATTGGTCTGAAAAATTCAGCTAAATTTGCAGCAAAGTTATTCAAATAAATGATGTTCAGAAAATTCCTATAAATTCTATTGCAGTGCATAGTGTTATGTAAGAAGTGCTGCTCTGGGCAACATACGATAGTCTCCGTTATTCTGTAGTCCCTCACATTTTTTGACAGTTTAGAGCAGCTGTAGAATAGGATAGTAAGTAAAGAATATACCATTTCTTTGGGGAAATCTAGAAACAGTTTACAAGCACATTCCCAAATTTAAAGTAGCAAGATACAGAACTTTCTCCTCTGATGGTCTACAGCATAGAGTCCTCTGGGCAGATGTGGGGTCTTTGCAATCATCCACGCAGGAAGATGGTTTGTAATAAATAAATCACCCTTTGCTGAGATAGCTGTCTTTGAGCTAGTTTCTCCTATTTCCAGCTCCTCAGCAAGCTCAGAGTGCTGCTGCTGTCTCTCTCTTCTCCTGCTATTCAAGGTTATCATTAGACTTGCATAAAATAGAGAGCTACCTGTTTTAGACACGCTGGAAGAGACAGGGATTGATTGCTCAACAGCACACGCAAGTTGCTCCGCCAGTCTGTGTTTGCACGGGATGAGAGCAGTTACCAGCAGTCATCAGTAGTCACCAGCCCCCTCAGCTGCAGGGGATGTTGCAAGCCCCAATCCTCCAGCTTCCTGGCCTGGCCTGACCTGACCTGGACCTTTTTTTCCTCCCTATTCCTTGCGTTTGGCATTCAAATGAAACACGTAAGTGGAAAACATAATTTGATTAAATGGATCATCAAGTATCTTAACATTAATTGTGATTTATTCAGCAAAAAAAAATCATGGGGAATCTTTTATAATAGGAGAATAATGTGTCAGGTGGGGAGGGAGTCCCATGTTCAGTCCCATGAGCTCTTCAGCTCTCACTAGCTCTTTTAAACTAACTATTCTCTGTATGAAAATCATGTTATAAATGCTAGTTGACAGTAGGGCAAAGAAAAGAAATTCAGCCCTGAATCAGGCCTTTGGAGTTGATTTAATGATTTAATGATCATTGCATTTATGGAACTTATTTAGCCAGCTTTCATTCTACAGTGTCAAAAGGCAAGTTACAGCAGCTGAGGTGCTGGCTCCCTGTTTAAGTGGCAAATGGGTGCTAGAAAGCAGAGAATTCAGTGTATTTTTGGTGACCAAAATCTACATTTTCAGTGTTTCAGTTGCACATCCAAACTCCATGTGCAATTGCCATAACTTCAAGCTCAAATTGGGTGTCATCGGCAAAAAAGCCTTTTGCACTTGGTGTGATCTGATTTCTCCTCGTTCCTAACCCGAAAGAAGGCATTCACAAATAGAATGGGATATTGATGCACATTTTCCATGTTGTGTCAGCAAATCAGACCCTGAAATTGTCATCTATTTATTTTTTATCAGAATGAGTGGTACAAGGTAATTGGCCTTTTCTGTCCCTCTGTCATTTCATGACCTTATACGGATGTTTTCTTTAACAAAGAACAACAACAACAAAGAATATCCTAGCCTGCTTTTACTATTTAGAAGTTCGGATTTGCCTGAGCTGCCCCTTGCACAACGTCACAGCTGTTACTACAACAACTGCACCGGCGCGGTCAGAAGCCGCGCACAGATGCAGGCGAAGGCACAAGAGGCGAGCAGCCTACGCGAGCGCAGGACGCAAACCGAGGCGCTCTGGATCGCCCCACGCAGATCCTACGGGACAACTGGCGAAGCTCCTGACATACTCAGCTGTCCTCTGAGCAGCTGGGTAAAGCTCCTGTAGGTCTTTGAGGGAGCTGATTGAAAGCAAGAAAGCAAAACAAAATGCCGCTTTCAGCCTACCTAAAAGTGTTGTCACTTCTTTACTTGTCGCCTGACATGCAGTGCAGTTTCTTGCTCTATTGTGACTGAAAGTACTTTAAAATAATTTATTCGCCTCAGATGTGATATTTAGTGAGTTTCCTTTTTGTTACACACTGAATAAGGTTCGTCCACCGGAAAATAGGCTTGGGCTAAGGATACCGTTTATCTTTTATCCTGCCTTCTCAGGAAAGTCTCTTTTGTGCCTGTTAGTGCTGTTTTGCAAACAGGATGGCTCCTACTGCAGAGCACAGAGGGGATTTGTGTTAATTTTTCATTTCCTTTCTTCAGAGAAAAGCTGAGTGCTTTCATGAATAAGAGGCAAGCAGACATAAGTCAGAGTCCTGTTCCTCTACCACATTTCCCCTAAACTTAGTGGCTACCACTCTTACGTGATGGAGAACACTTCCTCCAATTTTTAAATAGTTTACTGTAACATCTCATCTCCAATGGCGTTGCCGTGGGTCAGTAGTTTGGTGTTGCTACAGTCCACTTATAAACCAGCTACAGAGAGCCAGGCTGAACCCATGCTGAATGAACGTAACTCATAATGGTTTGGGGGGTCAATAAAAAGTCCTTTTCCAACACTCATATTTTGGCATCTTAACTAATTGTCCTACATATCTGATTGTAGCTCTTAAAAGGATGTATAAGGCAAATAAGAAACTTAATCTGTAACTGACCTAGACAATGGAATTGCTTTATCAGACTTCTCTGGTTATGGAGCTGGACAGGACATTGAAATAACTAAGTATGCTCCTTCTGAGAGAGTAAATCTTTCGTTACCAGAAAATAACGCATCTCAGCCTAGACCTTCTCGCTGCTCCTGCTCCCAATAAATGTGGCTTGAACTAATGGCTCTGTGAGACTGGAGAAGTAGAAATTCCCCTGATTTCTTTTTTTAGCGGTTCTGCTTTTGGGTAGTCAAAAGATTTAGACGATATCTAAAGCTGGATTTTCTCTGAATCTTTTCCCTCCCTTGCTTAATAAGTCAGATTGCCCTTAATTTGTATGTGTCAATTCCTATCTGAAATAAAGTAGAAATACTGGCAAAGGGGAATTAAAGGAAAAAATACTAGACCTACTTTTAAAGTTCGTTCCTGTCTACTAGCATCAGTGAACAGCTGAAAGGTTTTTAGTCACTTAGGAGAGTTTCCTCTAAATCACTTATTTAACTAATCCAGTTTTAAAAGAGGTCCTGAGCTCACTCATGATTTTTTTTCCCCTCTAAGCACCTGCTTACTCTTCCAAGAGCATGCCGGGCTTCAGTCCCAAATATCAGACGCGAGGTATATGATGTTCCATCAACGCAGCGCCGAGAGTCCTTATGCCCACAGGTGAGTCCTGTCATGGTACCCCTGGGGCAGCGGGAGCCACGTCCCGTGTCCCTCTCAGGAGACCTTAGAACACATTTTGAAGTAAATTCTACCATTTTCCTATTTGTTTTGAATTCTTCTGTAAAATTTGTCAGAAACCTATGCTTTTTTTAAGGAAGTTCAAAACCTAAAGCAGTTCTCTTTTGAATTTGTTAGATTAGTCTTAAATCTGCAGTTCTCTTTTGAATTTGTTAGATAAGTCTTAAATCTGGTTATGCTTCTAACGAGCACTTTTAGTTCTGCCTTAATTCAGGCATAAGGCACTTTTTCGCAGATGAATTCCCAGCGTCAGACAGAGTGGCCAGCTGCTTGGTTTGCCCTGTCAGGAAGTGGGACTTGTCTCTTTGTCTCCTGTGTTGACTGGGAAGATTAGAGTGTTTTCTATAAACTGAAATGACATGTTTACAGAAGAGGTGCTAGCGCATGTACAAATGGAAACTAAAAGGTCACCCACACCACCCTCTCTGGGCAACAAAATGCAAGGGATTAGATTACGTAACCCTGATACATTCAGGGTAAGAAGGACAACATGCCTTTAGCATCTACGTCTTGAAGCAACCTGTCATATGATCTTTTTCCTGAGCCCGTGCTTCCCTGGGGAGACTGAATGTCACCACAGTTCCCCCACCTCCCCTCTGCAGTGTGTCAGGGTCGCCAGGCCCCGCAGCCCAGCTCCCTCCTGCCCGTGATGGGAAGATGCGCGTGCAGCAGCGGAGCAAGTCTACAGAGCCTCCCCGCGCACCCGACGCTCCCTGACAGCACCCGGCAGCGCAGGATTCAGACCAATTTGATTGACTTATTGTCAGGTTATCAGCAGATGTCTTGTTTTGCCCACTCTGTTTAAGTGGGGTGAGCTCTGTTCAGATGGAAAGCCAGGCGTGTTGGTGCCAGGTTCCTTGCACCACCTAGCGCCCATCTCCCTCCCATACAGCAGTGTGCCAAAGCACCTCAGCCGCTCTCCAGCACATTGTATCCTGACCCAAGCTGTAGGAACCAGGAGCTACGCAGCATATGGCCAGAAAGCCTTTGATACCATTAAAGTCTTCAGTGGGCTCTAAAAACCACTGAAGCCAACCTCTGTATTTTCCTTTGACTAGACTGGTGCCACTCCACCCACAAGAAGAAAGCGGTCTGCGCTGCTGGGGTCCACTGAGTGTTTCCGGGAAGAGCCAAACCAGCTTTACGACATCCCATCCAGCCCAGAAAAGGCAGGGACCGTTATCCAGAAAGACTCTCCAGTGAGCAACGTAAGTAAGAATCATCGGACATCAGAGAATAATAACGCTCTAGTACTGTAATGTTGGGTGTATTACCTCCCTTGAGGTGTGTTTGTAGGTGAGGATGCCAGTGATAGGACCAGCACGTCTTCAGCGCAGTACTTCGTACTTCGTATTAAAGGAACAAATACTATCTGGCTTCTGGTAGTCAGGGAACCTAGCAGGACTAGGACTACTACTGTATTTGTATTTGCTTTTTAGGAAAAAAAATTCTTGCCTTATTATCTTTCTATGACAATGTGAAAAGCAAATTCAGTGTCCTACATTCTTGCATGTCTGACTGTTTGTAATATTTAAGCAGACAGAAGCAAACTGTTCACATTCCAATGGTGAGCTATAACTCAATTGTACCATGATCTGCCACTGAGTCGCTGCAAAAATTCAGACAAGAAACTCACTTCCAGTTTGCCTGCTTTAAAATAGCATTATTATTATTATAACTATAGAGCAGAAAATGTGTACTCAACCTATAGTTTGGCTGAACACAGTTCTCCCATCTCATTAATCCTTTTTGAGATTTGAAATGCATTACTGTACCATATCAGGATATAACAAAGACTCACACTAGACTACCTGGAAGATAAATGATTCAGGCTTAAATCCTTGCTTTGCTTGCTTCAGTTTGCCGTCCTCCATGCCACAGTGGTTTCCCAAACACCGGGGTATTAGCTTTCCTGAGATGAATGCTATCCTTCCCCATTAATATTTGTGAAAGGGCGTTTGAATTTGTGAAGCATTGTCAGGGCAGCAAAGGCTCATAGACCCAGAAGTGCAATGTGAAGCTGCATCATCCCGGGATAAAGCCGGAGGGGAGTCAAGGGGTCTGTTTCTCCACCACTTTGTGCAGGCAGTCTCCTGCTGCCTCCTTTGGAAGTGCAGCATACCTGGCTCTGGGCAACAACCATGAGGGAGGAATCAGCCTTCCCAGCTGTTTCCCACTGTGTGAGAAGCACCATCCTTGGAGAAAATGACTGGTCTGAAATTTCATGACAAACAAATGTCTGGATGGGAACTCCTGATTAGTGTGTGTGAAACACACTTAGCTGAGTGTGAAACATCTCAGGTTTCCTGAACAGTTTTAGGATCCAAGAGGATTCTGACAGCCTCCTTTGCAGGTGGTGGTCCTTGATCCCAGGGCTGACCCTCCCTGCACAGGGAGTCTGGTGCCTTCTGGTTTTGTGGCTTTGAAGAGAACTGCCACAGGTTCACAGCTGCCCCATGACTAGTCGTGCATTAAGTGTGGCTTCAGAGGCACCAGTAGGATTGGCTCTACCCCCAACCTGGCACCTGGCGTATTAGGCAAGCGCCCATTGAAGCTGGCATTCTTGGTAGCTGCACGGCTGTTAACGATTATACTGGCCAGCTGCAACAGCCTGGGAGCAGATTTGCTTTTGGAGACACGGTCTATCGTTGCTTCCAAAATCAAATTTTCTTAAAATTCTTTATTCATGGGAAATTCAGAAAATTCTGGCTGTGGTCTCAAACACTCGTCTCAGTCTCATTTTCTGCAGATTGTGAAGCTTGACTTTACCAAGTCTCTCTACAATTTCTGTCAGGCAGCAGTCTCTCCAGTAGTTTCTTGTGGCTGAACACTCCCGTAGTTCCTTGCACTCTCTCCTGCTCATGCTTGTGAGGCATCCAGGTGTGATCTGTCCCAAAGTGCCTATTACTATTACTCTAGATTTTCTTGTGCAAGAAGAATTCTTGCACGCACATTTTCCAGCTTACAGATTTCAGCTGTGCACAAGCATTTATTTTAAGGCACTAAATAAGATCTATATTCGTCTTAGCAAACCTGTGTTATGTAAAAATGTAAATTCATCGCAACTATTTAAGAATGGTCCGTTGTGCCTTTTTGTGATTTATGCTGTGAGTGTATGCATATGAATGTGAGGTGGGGGAGATACTGGAAAATCAAGTGCTTTCCTCTTATTGAGAGACTTACAGAATGAAGCAAGTAAGATTTTGTAAAACTGAGGGTTTTATCTGGTAATAAATTGGCATTCCACTTTTTTGGGGGGTAGCCATTTCAGAGAATTATGACCGCTTCCCACCCCAAAGGAGCCAGGAAAGATCCCACAGATGTCATTGGTTGGGAACAATGCTGTATGATTTCATTAGCTGTGCTCAAACTATTTTATTCTTCATCTGTGCAGCTTGTACTTTTTATAAAGAAAACAAAATGAGAATTATGAGCTATACTTTTCAGAGGTACAGTTCCATTGATATTACTGGAGATGTATACATTTACCCTCTGAGAACTCAGCCTTGTTTCTCATTTCTCTTGTTTATAAACACTGCTTATAAATCCTGTGTGCTCTCTTGCAGTTATATGACGTCCCTCCCAAAAGAGAACGTGATGTTTCAGAAAATGGATCTCAGAAAAAGTGCTGGGGCCATTACAATACCTTGCCAAATCCTCGAAAGTCAGAATGGATTTATGATATTCCAGTGTCACCAGAAAAAAAAGGATTAAAACAGAGCCCTCCTGGCCATTCCTGGGAGAACCAGGTGTTGTATGATATACCACCCACCAGGTACAGGGCACCGACAACAAATACTGAAGCCAAAGTTGTAAATCCACAATTATATGATATTCCACCACTACAGAACAAAGCTACGTTTCCAGATGTCCCTCTTTATGACGTTCCATCCTCACGGGACATGCTCCTTTTGCGACAAAACAGTAGCCACGATGTACCCCCAAGTCTGCTGGCTCCAAAGGTTGAGAATCAGACTTCCGAAGTGAATGTTTATGATATTCCGAAAGGTATGCCCACTGCTTTGCAGTGCAGAAAGGAGGTGGGAAAAAACAACAGCAGCTCTGGAGACCAAGCATACCATGTTCCTCCACAGCTCTCAAGAGATGTAAAATTAGAACGAGACAGATCATCTCTTTCTAGTGTGGACAGCAGAACCAGCACCACCTCTACATCCTCAGACTCTTTTGCAGAGGCCTTTTCTGTGTCAGTACCAGAAGAGGCTGGCAAAGAAATTAAACTGGACCTTGACGTAGCCATAGAGACACTGACTAGATTGCAGCACAGTGTTTCTAGCTCAGTGGCGAGTTTAATGATCTTTGTGAGTAGTAAATGGAGATTACAAGAACACCTAGAGAAAAACATTGAAGAAATCCATAGAGCAGTCGATCACATAAAAGTATCACTGGGAGAATTCTTGGCCTTTGCTCAAGCCATAAAAGTAAATGCCTCTTACCTCACTGATAATAACCTTCAGACCAGAATTAAAAAACAGTTAGAAATTCTTGTGAACTCATTCCAAATCTTAAAAGAAACAAGAGAAGCTTTAAACAACTGCAAGTGGTTGCTAGAGGTGTTGGTTATTAAGAAACCTCAGAACAACCCAGATGATCTTGATCGCTTTGTTATGGTAGCTCGCACAATTCCAGATGATATTAAGAGATTTGTATCCATCATCATTGCCAACGGAAAGCTTCTCTTCAGAAAGAGTGACAAGGAACAAGAAATGAAGCAATCAAAAATGAACATAGCATATAAAATGGCAGACCAAATCACAGCGCCCAGAAGAATAGAATTAGACTCACTTCAAAGAAATGTTCCTGATAAACCAAACCACAGTCAAGTCTCTTCTGACAAATCAAAAGAAATAGCCATTGAGGACTGTGATTATGTTCAGCTACAGGTTAGTATAATACCTATATTCTTCTTGATTGTTTGCAGATATTAAACTATTAGCATTGTTTTAACTGCGCATTAGTACAAACTTTTCTTCCGGACTCTATGCAAACTCAGGATTTTATTAGAGTGCTAGAGGGCGCAGGTACTATAAAGAGTAACTATAATCAGTAACTATAAAGAGAACCGGAGTCACAGAATTTAGTGAGGTAGCCAGACAACACTGAGAAAACATTTTAGCTTACCCATTTGAATTTATTTGATACCTAGTTTTTTAGCTGGGATTTAAGCTGTATATTTCCTCTCTGTAGATTTTCTTTTCTTGCCAGTATATTTTGTGTGTTGACTCTGACACCATGATACAGGAAATGTAACTTTCTGACTTAGGCTGTATCAGAAAACTAGTTTTGCAGAAATAAAAATCTAAACAAATTAAACGCTTATTGTGAATTATCAAATTTATTTGTTAGAAAGTTTCTGGAAGATTGTCAGAGGAATGGTTCTCCTTAGAAGTACCAAACTGCCTGCTAAGCATCTAACTCTTGTAATTGATTTCGCAAAGAAATGGTAGCTTGTCCCTAGTGTTTAGGATAAGTTACGTTATGTCGATGTTGGTTTCAGTCTTAGATCTTGCAGGATCAGACACTACATTTTTAGTAGAAAAAAGCTACAGCTGCTTCTAATAAAAGCGCCATTGTAGTCCATGTAGGCTGCATATCATCGTAGCACATAAAGGCTGCAAAGCAAGCAGACATTTTCCCCGAAATAAGGGAAAACCAAATCTATGTTGGAATATCTTCTGTAAACCATTTCAACTTTGTTTTCATTTTGATTTATAACAGGCACAGAAAATCCTTTCAACTACAGAGGTAGCAAAGAAGAATACAGATTCAAAAACAAAGGTATAGGTTTTCTTGATTTTGAAAACTATCGTTTATAAGGACTCGTTGTCCCTGGTTTCTGTGCTTGTTAAAATTCAAAATAGCTTGGGTTTGGACACCTATATTGATGCATAGAGAGCTATTTGTTTTCTCTTTGATTATTTTCCTAGGACTAGTTCTCAGAATTACTGCTGAAAACCTGTGCAAAAGGTTTATTTTCCTCATATGTAATAAACATAATGATGGGAGTTAATATTTCAAAATATCTTATAATGCACTCGTTAAGGACTATCTTGGTTTTCTACATTTTTCTATATTTTTCATCATCGATTACCCTCATGAAGTCAGTACCATTAAAAGTCAAGTCGACGTATTTGTATTATCTGCTAGTTGGAAGTCCCAAATGTATAAAGGATTGATGTTTAACTACAGCACTTCGTGTGCTATCCCTTATTAAAATTGTGTTATTAGTGAAACCTGTTTGGGGAAAAGGTAATTGGGGGAAAATACTATTTTGAAGTCGAGTACTTTAACAAAAGAGAAACAATTGCAAAAGGCCTCTGGGCTGTGGCACTTTGGAGTCTCTTAACTAACAAAACTCCATGGAAGTAAAGGAAGGTGAAGAATATAGGGTAGAGCAAATAAAGAAACAATTAGGGTGCTACCAAGCTGAATCTTTTTTTTTTTCTCCTTTTTCTAGGTTTTGCCATCTGCAAAAAGGAATATAATTCAAAGCAAGCAGGACTCTGCAAAGAAAATCACTCTTTCAGAACACTGTAGGCTGTGTTTTGGTGCACTTCACAAGGCAATTGGTGTCTTTACAAATAGTCTCAGTAATAACCAGCCGCCTGAAATCTTCATATCACACAGCAAATTGATCATTATGGTGGGACAGAAGTTAGTAGATTCTCTCTGCCAGGAAACTCAAGAAAAAGATGCTCGTAATGACATTCTCCACAGCAGCAGCCAATTTTGTAGCCTACTGAAGAATCTGGCTCTTGCCACCAAAAATGCTGCAATACAATATCCAAATGCAGACGCAATGCGGGAACTTCAGAACCAAACTGATGAGCTCTCTAAATACGCGCAGCAGTTCAGAGCAATGATGGAATGAAAGAAACGTCACTATTTTTAGAAATATATTGGTGACAACTTGAATTTCTCCATTGTTAGGATTCTCTCTTCAGTCCTTTGGCATTGGGCTGTTGGGCAGCTTTCTCGGGTACTGATGCACTTTCAGCAGGTGAAGACCCCTGGGGCAGCAGATTCTGTGCCCCAGAAGAGGATTTGTACAATTAAATCTGTACTTTCTTCTCTTCTGTACTTCAGACACTGCCTGGAAACCTCTTCTTCTTAGTGTCCTGACAAGAATATTTGCCATGTATTAGAGCAAATTTATTTTACTATCATCTCGCTGATTCTTTAAAATTTCCAAAAACAGCAGATAAATCTTTTCTTTTCTCTTTTCTTTTCTCTTTTCTTTTCTTTTCTTTTCTTTTCTTTTCTTTTCTCTTCTTTTCTTTTCTTTTCGTATTTGTGTATGTAAGATCTCTTTAAACTTTGCGGCATATTGATCCATAAGTTATGACACGTTGATGTGTGAAACCATCATCAACTGATGGTGAGTTCTAGCGCACTGTACTCAAATTTTGTAATTATGCTTAAAAAAACCACTTTGCAGCTGTTTAATGTATAAATGCAATGAGTGTATTACAGGACAAAATCTGGCAGGTACTAGGCAAAGAAGAGATATTAATCAGAAATGCTCCAGCTGAGCACAGAAGGAGTTGTGACTCCCGATAAAGATAAATACGTGAGGAAAGTGCCTCTGGGGTCTTCATTTACAGGCTGAAGCATTTCAAAGAAGTGAAGGAAAAAAAAAAAGCATTAACTGCAGTCACTAAAAACACAGCGACTTTGGAAAAGTTATTCCTACAGACTGGAAGTATGACATGATTTCTCCCTTGACACCTACAGCAACAGCGCTCACGAGGGAGGGGGGGAACACCACTCCCACGGGCTTTGCAACTGTATATTTAGTGGGCTAATTCCCATATTTCATTAATTTTATCCTAAAATTTGCAGGATCTGAGCTAGAACAATGATGAAGGCCCGGTAAACATTGGGTAGGTGGTATGTGGGTGTTGTTTGTATCTTTCTCATTAATTTATTTAACAGTTGTATCTGAAGTCTGGCCTTTCTTGGCAAAGTTGTACCGGTTTTCTTCTTTTCTCTCTCCAAAAACGGACAATTAGTTTTGCTACTACGTGCAGCTACAGCTACTTTGTAATGCCAAAACAGACACATGCAATTGGTGCCGAGGGCGGGCGGGGGGCCGACAGGCGGATTAATTTTATCCTCTTATCAGTTTTATTTTCATTTTTTAGTCGCCATGTTATATGTATTTAAATGTAGGCACACGTAAATAGTACTGCGGTCCAACAGGGCAATGCCTAGGCGCAGTTTACGCTGTCTTTGCACGTTTTCTATTAAACTCACTCCCGAGCCTCACTGACTTTCCTCACCCCAACGGCGGCGGCGGCAGCCC